CGACTCACGGATCTTGAATCTCCCCTTTATGATGTCATCTGGCTCAAAATATCTCTACCTTCTGTGAATATTTTTCTTTGTTTCCTATACTATTCTCCCAACTCTACCAACTATTTCGAACTCTTTGAATCTCACTTCTTGCCATGAGTCGTTGCTATCCACACACCCCAACACCGAGATCCTCTGCCTAGGGGATTTCAATGTACATCACAGAGAGTGGCTTGGCTCTGCAAGGGATGACCCAGGTGGAGCTGAGGCACTCTCTTTTTCCTTACTTAATGATTTGGAACAAATAATTAAACACCCTACACGCGTTCCTGATCGACACGATCAACTTGCTAACATTCTTGATCTTTGTTTTACCTCTAACCCCTCATACTATTCATACACAATTTTTGCCCCCTTAGGGTCTTCTGATCACAACCTTATTTCTATTAAATCAAACTGGGCACGACCACCTCCCCCACCCCCCTCTAAACGTCAACTATGGCACTATCGGAGGGCAAGCTGGCAATCCTTGCGAGAATTCTTCACCGACTTTCCTTGGGATGAATGTTGCTTTTCCACTCGGGATGCCTCAGTATGTGCTGACAGCATTGCTGGGGTTATGCAGGGCGGTATATGAGTGCATTTATCCCATCTTCTACCAAAACTTTCACATTACAATCATTACCTCTTTCATTACTTCTAGGAATCGTTGTAAGGCTATTCTTCGTAGGGCCAAGCGGAATTTTATTAAAAGAAAGACCGCTGTCCTGACCAATTCTTCCTCTAGTAAATCCTTCTGGTCCTTAACTAAAAACATCTGTAACAACTTCTGCACGACTTCTTTTCCTCCCCTCTTCCATCCCAATAACTCTATAGCCAACTCTCCCCCTGTCAAAGCCAACCTCTTTGGCACCTTATTCTCCTCTAATTCCACCTTAGACGATTCCCACTCTATCCCTCCTACCCCTGCACCTCCTACTGAACCTATGCACTTTCCTATAATCTCCACTCGCAGGGTTGCCGGTGTGTTATCCAGGTTGGATGTGAGTAAGGCGCATGGACCGGACGGAATACCCCCTCGTGTTCTGAGGGAGTGTGCTGAAGCCCTGGCCCCTGTGCTTGCTTGCCTCTTTCGCCTTTGCCTCAAAACCAAAACTTTTCCTTCTTCTTGGAAGCATGCCCATCCCGAAGAAGGGTGACCATTCTAATCCCTCTAACTATCGCCCCATTGCCCTAACTTCGTCCCTCATTGAGGGAAAAGCCTTTAACATGTTCATTGGTGTGGAAGAGTCTTCTAGGTTAGTTCCCATCCCCTGGAGCCTTGTGTACTTTCAGGTATGCATGAAAAGTAAAGATGTAATGAAGTTCATCACCCCCCTCCCTCTTTACTTAAAATTAAGATAAACATTTTTTAAAATGTCATAGAATCAAACAGTTGTTTGTTTTAATTTCAGCTAATTAGAACGAAGTGCACAACTCAAAACATAATAAATGTTGCCAGTCCACTGTGGCCTGTGAGAGGCATGTTGCTATTGTTAAATGTAATGAAACCATAAAAGTAGTGGATAAATCATTTCACTACTCTAATGTGACTAAGAAATAATGAAAATATCAAATAAAAATATAAAATAAGAAAAATGAGGAGCATGGGTGTGTTACCAGTCACGTTGCTGGCTCCCCTAATGTGATGTCACGGCATACACAGTGCAGCAGCCACACACTCTCTTATGTCAGGTGGGTGGCTGCCAGACTGAACTGTGTCACCCACTCTTAAGCCCCATCCACACTATCGGACAGTGACTGGCGGAGTCTGTCGGGCATGACTGTGATGTTGTTCACACTGCTGAGTAGGTGGTCAGGCAGTAGCAAGTAGGTGGTCGGCAGCCCGAGTGCTGTATCACCATGCACAACACAGTTGGAAAGAAGAAAATAGCGCTGTATAGCAGAAAACGATCTGGTGTAAATAGTGGTTAAGTAGGAGAGAAGTATTGGGAAGTCATATGACGCTATTACGTTAACTACAAGATGGAAGTGACCGTGATGTCACCAACTACATGAGAATGGATATCAATGCTTTTTACATACTCCTAGCTAAAGTGGAACCATACATAGCATAGGAAGATACCCAACTGAGGCAGAGTATAACAGCGTTATGTGGTAGATGAAACATTAGGAATTTAGGATGGATCTCCAATTGTTACTATTTTTAATACATGTAAATGGAACTATATTACAATAGTATTGGAAGTTCAATACATACGTCTGTACTGGCATGTTGAATAAAATGTATTAATGGGGTCTTTACATACCTTTTGTTGAACCTTCACCATGATATGTGTACGTGAATATCATCATCATCATCATCATAATCTATACCCCATTTCCCTAAAGAGGGGTGGGGAGGGTTTTGCTCGAGAAAGAAGGTGAAACATTCAAGTAAGAGTGAATCAGTAGAGTGCTACACTGGCCACACATACCTTTCATACATATTCCCTGCCCCTCCATCCTGTCTGCCTCCAGAGCTAAAGCCCCTTCATAATGAGAGAGAGAGAGAGA